TCAAAATTGAAAGACTGGCTTTAATTTGCAGGGAGCACCATTGAGTTCTTACAGATTCACTCAAATGGAAAACAAAGCTTGCTTCATCTGGTGTTTATGTATCTTCACTTACATGACCCTTTTTCCGGCAGGTTAATCATCTAAGCATATATACGGTTAGATATACATTTCAGAACTTACGTACCATTAAGTCTATGTTGGATCCGCAACTACTCAAAGGTGGATCCAACTATATATATATATATATATGTTTGCGAATTCAGCAAAATTTTGTAGTACATAATAAGCATATATACAGTTAGATATACATTTAAGAAGTTACTCTCTCGATTAGAACCACGATAATGTAACATTTAAAACCTTAGATATGCATGTCCATGCACCCACCTTTCCCTAACATATTTTTTCTGATGTTTGGACTTCATAATAATTGTAGCATGTCTTGCTCTTTTACTTTGTTGCAGTGGACATGTTTGATCTGAAGGTTGATGCTGGACTCAAACGACACAATGGGAAACATAAGCTGTTTGTTTTCGGAGACTCGTACGTAGATACAGGGAATTGGCCAAAATCAATGTCTACTTCTTGGAAAGAACCTTATGGCCTCACTTACCCTGGTTCTCCTTCCGGCAGATTTTCCGACGGCCTCGTTCTCACTGATTTTATTGGTACTTTTCCCTCAATAAAGCTTATCAAACAGAATCAATTTAGAGATACTTCTAATTATCCTTTTTCTCTTCTTTTTTTTCTTTTTCTTTTGGACAATTAATACATTTTTTTTCCACACAGTGATTATACCAAACCATAGTAAATTTACTTGTTTATACTATCAATTGAGGTGAAAATGTATATTAACTAACTGAGCTTTAGTGATAGCTCATGTCATTTATGTACCGAATTGATGTAAATATGATTGTGGATAAAAAAATTCTTATTACAATATATCCTTAAATTTACTCTCTTCATTTCAATTCATGTGACATTATACTATTATTAACTATATTCTAAGAGCGATATATTTTTATATTTGAAAATAATTCAAGTTTAGGATTAATATATGAATGAACTTCGAAAATGCATGTCAAAGAATTTAATTATTAATTCATATTCAGCTGAAGTGTACTTTTTCCGGGCACAAGATTCTCAAAACATTATGCTCTGATCTTTCCGAGTTTAATAGAAAACTTCCTTAATTTGTAGGCTTGGATATTTTATGTATATATTACAGAACATAATTTTTTAAACGCGAATATTAAATTATCAATATTATTTTTAATTATTTTCTTCACTTGTCCTCCACTATTACCATGAGTTTTTTAAAAATTTCATCTATTTCCTTTGGGATATCATAATGTAAGCTAATTAAACATGTTGCTATGACTTTCTAAATGCAGCTTCATTCCTTGGCATAAGATCACCTCTACCTTATACTAAGAAGGGATCTGATAGGAAATCATCAGTAAAAGCTGGAGTGAATTTTGCATATGGAGGCACAGGTGTATTCAACACATTTGTTAACCAACCAAATATGACCACACAAATAAATTATTTTCAGCAGCTAATAATTCAAGAAGAAGAGGTGTATACAAAAGAGGAAATGAGTTCCTCCATTGCTCTTGTATCTGTGGCAGGCAATGATTATGCTACTTTCTTAACCAAAAATGGAAACAATATGAAGGTAAGTTTGTTAAACTAACCCCTAGGCCCTACCTATATATCAAGACTTGTTTGGTGATCAATATGGCCTTATTTTCTTGCTTTTGCTAGCTAACAAGTGTCTTCATCCTGCATAATTGATGGCGAAGCAACAATGTATTGGTTAGGGAAGAAAATTGATTAGACGTTAATTGTGGTAAATACTAATTACTGGTTTACACCAAACTGTATTGATTTATCTTGGCTAATTAATCAATGATCGAAGTGGTAATATATACTCCTAATTAACCATAGTTAAGTGATAGAAATGGATGTGCGAGAAGGATATGATACATCTACTGGCTTGGTGGTGTGAGTAAATTTTTTTGCTCTTGATCTCGTTACTTGTTTGATGAAAAATTGTTCTATATTTTTCTTTATACTCCATTTATTTGTTTTCAGTCCCAAATATTAGTCCTTTTAGTAAACTGGATTTGTTTTGAAGTATTTGACGTTTAAAAAAGAAGAAGTCATTTATTATATTTTTCAGAATCTACCCTTATATGATTCTAATTAGTGGAGTGTTAATTTACTAAGACATTTAACAATTGATAGTTTAGACATATATTCGATGATTAAATTTATTAAATGTAGCGGCGTAATGTTACATTGACCGGGGAATTAGTAACTCTAAAATGTTTTCAATATGAAACATTTATACCTTGTGCTGAAGCTTGATTTAGATTATTTTGTTTAATGTGTATAAGTTAAAAGTTACAAGTAAACTTTCACTTTTCATTCTTCTTTTATTTGTATAGGTTCTAATAGGGGTATTCAGACCGAACCGGAAAACTGCACTAAATCAAACCAAACCAATTAAAAAACCCGATTAGATTTGGTTTGACTTGGTTTGGTATTGAATAAAAAAAACCGAACCAAACCGACATATAAATATATAAATTTTATTTATATTTTTAAGACTTTATAGTGAATTTTTTCTTTAGAAAATGTAGAAATATTTGGGATCCTCTCATGTTTAACCTTGAAAGAAGTAAATTAACGAAAAATTATTGGTAGATAACTAAGAAAATAACTATCACGTGTTACTAAAAAAATTCTCCCATTAGAATATTTTAATTAAATAATATGTTTGTCAATTTTTTCCATATTTACTAAACATATATTCACTTATCAAAACTTTATTGAAATAATATTCATGTAACAAAAAAAACGAAAATCCGAAAAACCCGACAAAACCGAACCAATCCAAACCGATATAGTTGATTTAGTTTGATGTTGATAAAAACCGAACCAACCTGATACATGTACACCCCTAGGTCCTAACATGTTTTGGGAACCCATCAACCTTTCACTTTTTATCAAGATTATGTTAAACAGAGATTGTTGATTCATGAGGAATATAGTATAATGGTAGAACTAGTACTCCTTATCATGTTTTTTTGTTTTGTTTCTCACTTAGGATTGGTAACTGCTTTAGGACTCTGACTAATTCAAATTTACACAAAGTTCCATGTTGGGAATAAAACACTCCCTTATTTTTTTATTTTTTTATTTTTGCGGTTGGAAACTTATCCTATAAAAAATCCATTAAGTTTATTGGAATTAGTTATTGCTTATAAAACTAAAATGTAAACATTTTAATTTACATTTTTTCTCTGTGTAGGACTTGGGTGATTTAACTAAATCAATAATAAGTCAACTTGAATTAAACCTTAGACGCATACATGGATTGGGAGTTTCAAAAGTAGGCATCACAGCAATGGAACCAATAGGATGTTTGCCGAGAATGACTGCTGTTTCTTCCTATGAGAATTGCAGTGATTCTGCAACTTCTCTCTCAAGATTTCACAATGAAATTCTGCAGCAAACTATAGAGAAGCTCAATAATCAAACTGGTAAACCAGTTTTCGTCATTCTTGATCTCTACAGTGCCTTCATGTCTGCCTTAAACATACAGCAAAGCCATCCAGGTAATTTATGCATTAATATATATCACCACTTAAACTCTTGCAGCCGATCACTATGAGTTTTTGAGTTAATTTTAACGTACGATCGCTAGACGTTATCTACTATAATCGTAAAGTAACAAAAAAAAATTTTATCAATTGAACCATAAGCAGTGATTGCTCAATAAAAACAAATCATTAGTAGGATAAATTTCCAACATTGAGCCATGACACGTTACTCACCACATCAGCTTTTTGTCACTCTGTAAATTCCACGTTAATTAGAAGAAGAAAAAAAGAGTTTCGCAGTATAAGAAGTTTGACTATCCGTATTCTATAGGGAATTTTTCACTTTTAATATGCGCCAGAAACTATTTACATTCGTAGTCAAAAAGTGTATAAAATTTGTATAATTTTTATATATAACATACATAATATATATAAAGAGAAAAATATATATTTTTTCAGCTATTATTTTGAGAACAGCTATACAATGTTATTTCCTTATTATTTTATAAGACAATCAGTTAAAAACATTTAAGTGAAACAAAAAAAAAATTGAATTCCTTTTTTTTTTCTTTTAGAAATTAAAGGGTGCCAGCGAAGATTTCACATCTAAAGTGTAGCAATCAAACGTAAATTTAGCCCTTCATTCTGCACCTTAAATATGCACCATTTAGCAGTTTTGTAATGTATTTGATTATTTTTATTTATTGATTTGGACCATAATAATCTCTCTTTCCTTTTTTTTTCCTTCCCATATCATGACATGTATATGATTCAATTCAATATAAATATTAGGAAATTCATCAAACTTTGAGAATCCACTGAAACCATGTTGCATGGGGACGAGCAGTGAGTATTCATGCGGAGACAAGAGGGGAACGACGAAGAAATATGTCGTATGTCGAAATCCACAGCTTTCATTTTTCTGGGATATTATTCATCCTTCTCAGCAAGGCTGGTTTGCTGTTTTTTCTGCTCTAAAGCCTTCTCTACGTTCCCTACTGTAAATCATAGGCTAGTCTGACAGAGGCAGAGCCAAGAATTAATTAAATTTATGAGTTGTTCCGAATTTGTCACTAAATCCATAGCTCGTTTTAATTATTGAGTTCACAATCAGATATTTTTATACATATTATTTAACAACTTTTTTTTATTGATACTGAATTCGTCCGAACCCGTTAACAATATATAGCTCCGCCCCGAGGCTAGATATCCCTTTGTTGCTACCTTTTCCTTTTTTACTTTCTATTTTCTTGGATAATTTGATGGTATGTTAAGTGTTGGTCAGTATGTTTGTGAAAAGGAAAAAAAAAAGAAGAAGAATCGTCGAGTTAGTTCAAAATTAATTAGTCCGTAGCAATTAAAGTATCTTTGATGAAACTCTACAATTTTCCCTTAATCTTTTAATCAGTCGTGAGTCCATTTGGAGCGTCATTAATTCACATATAATGAGTGAACTTTACTTAATTACTAGAATATTAACGTCACATAATTATTTTGGTCATAACTCGAGCAGGTTCATACGATGTTTTTCCACTTTCATTTATGATTAGTTCGAGTTTTAAGAGATTCGGGAGTGACTTGGAGCTCTTGGTTGATAAATGGAAGCTTTCAGTATGTTGAGAAAGTTAACCAAAGCCAACATCTTAGGTAAATGGGATTTGATTGGTGATTTCGTATAATAATTTTGGACTTATATAAATAAATAAATATATATATTCTAATCAAGTCTTGGGTGGCCTGAAAAGGATTCAACCTTTTGGTTGAATGTTAGCAATTTGAAGAACTTGTTTGACTTGGGATTGAATTCAGTATTACTTTTTTGATCCTTTGGATAGATCCATATAGGTTATTTGAACTTGTTAAAATGGTCTAAAAGGTGATCCAAAGGGCTTAAGAGTGATCAGATCTATCTTATGAAATTGTAAAATTGAAGAATTTAAGAGCCCGTTTGGACATAAATTTTTTCTCCTTTTTTCCAATTTTTTTTTTTTTACTTTTTTCCGAAATTAACGTTTGTTACTTTGTTCATAAAATTTTCTATTTTCACTTGAAGATGCATTTTAAAAAATTTTAAAATGTTGTTTTTCAAAATTTTCACTCAAAGCACTCACAAAACTTCAAAAACAACCCAAAATTATATTCATGTCCAAATACAACTCTAAATTTCAAATATCATTTTCACTTGAATTTTTTTTTATTCTATTTTGGAATTTTATAATTCTTATGTCCAAACGCCCACTAAGTGCACGTTTGGACATAAAATTTGATGGAAGATTTTCAAAAAAAAATTACTTTTTTCCAAAATTAGCATTTGTTTATAAAATTTTCAATTTTGACTTGAAGATGCATTTTGAAAATTTTCGAAAATTTGAAAAACTGCAAAAAGTTATTTTTCAAAATTTTCACTCAAATCACTTACAAAACTTCAAAAACAACCCAAACTAAAATCTATATCCAAACACAACTCTAAATTTCAAATACTATTTTCACTTAAAAAGAAATTCACCATTTTTCGAAATTTTACAATTTTTATGTCCAAACGCCTACTAAGCAAGTTCACAATTTGGTTTGGCTCCTCAGATGTGATATGTTGGATGTGTTTTGAGGCCTTAGACAAGTTTGTATATGGGATACGAACTAGTTGGGATAGTTGGACGATGTCCGAAGAGCTCGGGTGAGTTTTGAACAAGTTAGAACATTTTAGCACTTTGCTGATATTCTACAACTTCTGCAATGCAGAGGGCACTTTTCAGAGTGCTGATGTAATGCCTCGAATGCGGAGGCAATGGCCCGAGTGTTGGACAAGGGGGCAGAGTGGAGATTGCATTAGGGTCGCAACATGGAACTACAAATTTGTTAGTCTTACTTCATAAGCTTATATCCCCTAATCTATAAGGAATTTGGGGAAATTTTAAAATTGAAGAACTTAAGAGCCCGTTTGGACATAAATTTTTTTCCCCTTTTTTCCAAAAAATTTCACTTTTTCCCAAAATAAGCTTGTTCATAAAATTTTTAATTTTCACCTGAAGACGCATTTTGAAAATTTTCGAAAATTTGAAAAACTCTAAAATATTATTTTTCAAAATTTTCACTCACAAAACTTCAAAAACAACCCAAAATTATATTCATGTCCAAACACAACTTTAAATTTCAAATAACATTTTCACTTGAAAAAAAATTTCATCTTATTTTGGAATTTTACAATTCTTATATCCAAACGCCCACTAAGTGCTCGTTTGGACATAAAATTTGATGGAAGATTTTTCCAAAAAAAAATGCACTTTTTTTCAAAATCAGCATTTGTTCATAAAAAAAATTAATTTTCACTTGAAGATGCATTTTGAAAATTTTCGAAAATTTGAAAAGCTACAAAAAGCGGTTTTTCAAAATTTTCACTCAAATCACTCACAAAACTTCAAAAACTACCCAAACTAAAATCTATGTTCAAACACAACTCTAAATTTCAAATACCATTTTTCGAATTTTACAATTCTTATGTCCAAACGCCTACTAAGAAAGTTCATAATTTGGTTTGGATCCTTAGATGTGATATGTCGGATGTGTTTTGAGGCCTTAGACAAGTTTGTATATGGGATACGAACTAATGCTGTATTTTGTCCCGGGCCCGGGCCTTAGTGGGCCTAACGGGCCGGGCCTCGC